CACACCCCCAGCCCCTCACTGGGGGATTCTAGGCAGGGGCTCTACCACTGAGCCACGCCCCAGCCCCTCACTGGGGGATTCTAGGCAGGGGCTCTACTATTAAACCATGCCCTCAGCCCTGTTTTACTTTTAAACTGAGATAGTAAAGATCCCCAGACAGGCCTTGAACTTGAGATTCCAGGCTGGGAACCTCTCACCTTTTGCTGATTGCTCTCCAGGAGGGCAATGAGGAGTCGGGGAACAGCACAAGCCGTGGCATTCACCTGGGAGAAGGGTGTGCTCAGGGCCAGGCTCTGAGCCCGTCCTGGCCCTGGGGTGGGGCTGAGGTGCTGCAGAGGACGGGAAGGTGGAGATGCCGTGTGGGCCTCACCGTATGTGCAAACTGCAGCTCCCCGGTCTCCGTCTCAAACATGATGAACAGGCGGCGGCTCTGGAAGTCTGTGCAGTTGGAGGCGCTGGTGACCTGGAGCAGGGGTGATTGAGAGGCTGTCTTGGGGACAGGCCCATCCTCCAGCGTCTTACCACACATCCCCACTAGCCCAGGGCTTTCACCTCTCCGTATCGGCCTCGGCCAGGCATCCAGGCCTCAATGTCGAACTTGCGATAGGCAGGAAGGCCCAGTTCCTGGGTGGGCATGTCCAGCACCCTGAGGCCAAGGTCGAAAACAGGGTAAAAGTCAAAAGGATGGTCAGCGGAAGAGGAGGACATGGAGGAGGACGAAAAGGAGGGAAAGAAGGAATAAGAAGGCACAGAGGATGAGGAGAACCCGGCGCTGGGGAGGTGGTACCCAGAGGAGACAGAAGGCAGAGGGTGGGAAGGAAGGACAGCCATGCAGCAGTCTATGGGCTCCTCACCCAACCACTCCCTGGTCTAGAACAGCATCTCCAGTTTGGGAGATCTCTCTAACTGCCTTTTTCTTCTTGTATGGCTTTTTGAGGTAGGGGTCTCATGCAGCCCAGGCTGGCCTAGAGTTCACTATACAGCTGAGAACGGCCTTGGATGGGTCCCGACCACAAGCGCTGGGATTGTAGGTGTGCACCTCTAGGCCTTGTGTTTGTGTCCTCACTGATGGCGCTAGACAGGCTGGGCAGAGAGCTCTGGGGATCCACTGGTCTCTGACTCTCCAGCACTGGCGTCACAGATGCACACCATCACCCCCAGGGGTATGTGGGTGCTGGAGATCAGAACTGAGGTTCTATGTTCGCACAGCAGGCACTTTACTGTCTCCTTTTAAGTAGGGTCTCGAGTAGTCCAGGCTGGCCTCAAACTCACAGCAATCCTCCTGCTTCAGTCTCCCTAGTACTAAGATTGTAAATATGAGCCTTTTCAGTTTTATTGACTTAGTTATTTTGAGACAGGACCACACTCTATAGTTCAGGCTGGTCTTGAACTCACGGAAATCCTGCCACAGCCTCTTAAGGGCTAAGATTACAGGTATGCGATGCCCCACCTGGTTGTATATTCTGGTTTTTGGTTTTTTTGTTTTTTGTTTTTTTTTTTTTGCAATGAGTCACCTGGGGAAGAGGTGGCCTTCTTCAGCCCTCTGGAAAGCTGTGTGTCCTAAAGGATGAGTGGGCCTTGTGATATGTGCTGCCTCCCTTTCACATCCTGCTTCACCTTGGAGGACAATGAGTTCTCTTGGACCTCACTCGAGGGATGAGAAACTGCCCCAGAGGGGTCAGGGAATAGCTTTACTGTGCAAGCTTTTCATACTCCTACATAGCAAGATAATGCAGACAGAGACTATACCGTCCAGAGGCCTCACCCAGGGAAAAGGGGGCAGGGGGCAGGACAGCGAGTCACCCCCCTCCCTTCTTCAACCCCACCAACCCCACCCAGCTCCGCACCGGAAGTGCAAGCCCAGCTCAGTCAAGATCTCCACCTGCAGGGACAGGAACTCATCCAGCAGCTGCGAGCTCTGCTCCAGCCCAGGGGCGGTCACCCCAAACATCTCCACCTGGGACAGGGCGGGGGCACCGGGTCAGGAGGTCCTGGGTGGTGGTGGTGACCTGTGCTTGGCCAGCTGGGTCTGCGCCACTCACTTTAGTGAAGTGATGAACTCGGTACAGTCCCCAGGGCTCCTTCCCGGTGTCTGTCTCGGCCCGGTAGCAGGTGCTGGCACAAACCATCCTAGTAGGAGCATGTGAGGTTGGGTCAGGGAGGGTAGGAGACATTACCAACGGGGTCTAGGATTAAAGAAACTGGGCATCACCTGACTGGCAGGTCCCTGAAAGCTACAGAATGGTCCATGAAGTATCCTGGGAGGAGAAAGAGGCAGGATGAGGTTAGCCAGGGTCACGCCGTCTCCCACAGGAAGTCGGAGTGAGATTTTGTCAGGGCACACGGCTGGCTAGTCACTGTACTTTGAGCAGTCAACAACCTCCACAACTGTACGCGTTAGCTCCAGGGTTGTGATCTGTCACCTGCAGGGAGATGTCCCTCCACCACCCAGGCAGATGCTCACCTGCCAGCCCCACCTCTGCCGTCCCAGCCAGGTTGAGATCTTCGAAGCGGGAGGGGTCAATATTGTAAATTTGGGATGGGTTGGCGTTTGGTGTCATTCCACAGCCTTCCTGGGGGAAGGTTGCAGGGGTCAGGTAACCTTGGCCTTCCCGTACTGGGGTCACGACCCCAGCGGTTCCTCTGGAAATGCTCCCTCTCCCCCGCCCCCCATGATGGCTGACTTCCATGACCCAGCCCAGGGCAGTCTCCTCAGGGAGAGAGGGCCTGTCACCCAGGCCTCACTCACAAACACAGCTCCTCGCAGAAGGTCTGGAACCGTCATGGGGGTGAAGCCCTGGGGAGAGGAGA